GGACCCTTTGTGCTTTTCCTCCAGCCTCAGCAGAGCCTCAGGACGAGCCTCTCCAGTTACAGCCCCCGAGGGCTTTCCCATTCGGCAGACGGAGCCTCAGGGTAAATATTCCTCCCAGGATCACCTGTCAGGCATGGGGGAGGGTCTCCTTGGTGCAGGAGTTGCCACAGGCCCAGTGGGTCATCCCAGCCTCCCAAACAGCAGCCCCACTGGGGATGGATGGATGGCCCCAGTGGTGTGGTTTAAGGCAGGACAGCTGATGGGGATCCTGGAACACAAACCAGCCAAATGACCCAGGCAAGCAGCCTTGTGTCTCTGAGCCTCAGTTTCCTCATCAGGAAGATGGGGTGATGGTCGTGCCCAGATATCCCGTGGGTAGAGTGTGGTGAGGATTCAAAGAGATGATGCCCATGAGTGCCTGGCTTGGTATATGGTACTTTTGAAAAGTAGGGGAGGGTAGGAATAAAAATGGTACAGCCACTTTGGAAAACAGCAAGGCAGATCCCCAAAACAATAAACATACCGTTACCATGTGACCCAGCAATTCCACTCCCAGGTGTCTACCCAAGAGAAATGAGAACTCATGGCCACACAGAAACTTGTACGTTACAGCAGCGTTCACAGCAGCGTTATTCATAAGAGCTGAAGTGTGGAAGTAACCCACGTGTTCATCAGTATAAAGGAATAGACAAAGTGAGGTCTACCCAGACCATCGGGTATTACTCAGCCTCAGAAAGGAATGTCACGCCGATGCACGCCACCACACGGATGAACCTTGAAGACTTTATTCCAAGGGAAGGAAGCCAGACACAAAATATCATGTACTATGTGATTCCATTCATATGAAACATTCAGATGCGTGCAATCCATAGAGACAGAAGGCAGATTCTTGGTTTTCAGGGGCTGGGGGGTGTGGTGGGAGGATGGGGTGATAGCTCAGAGGAACCGAGTTTCTTTGTGGGGTGGAGGAACTGTTCTAAAACTGAGAGTGGTGACGGTTGCTCATATTGTGAATAGACTAAAAACGTTTGAATCGTGTGCCGGAAATGGGCAAATTAAATGGTCTTTGAATTATATCTCAGTGAAGCTGTATTTTTTTTAAACAAATAAGCTTTTAAAAAGCTGTTAATTTAAAAATAAAAACTTGGGAAGAGGCTCCTGGCAGAGCCGAGACCAGAGGAGTAGAAGCAGAAGGAGGAAGGAGAAAGGAGGTTAGGAAGAGAGGGAGGGGAGAGAACCGTCAGATGGTGAGAGGGCTGGGGAGTCAGGGCCCTTTCACTGTGGGCCCAGCCCCTCTGCCTGCCTCCTGGGGGGCGGAGGGGGTCCCAGTGCCGCTGCTGCCAGGGGAGTTGAGTCCTTCCTGCAAGGAGGGAGTCAGGGGGCCTCTGTGAGGGTGTCTCTGCCACCTTCGTGGTGTGGGCCTCTGGATAAGCCCCTGAAACATGCTTGGCCTCAGCTCCTCACCCGGAAAGGGAGGCTTGTGACCGCTTGTGACCACAATGATCCTGAGGCTTGAGAGAGATGGGGGGTGTCAGTGTGCCTGACATGTAGTAAGTGCTCATTAAATGATGGGGGAGGGAGAGGGAGAGAGACAGAATTGCATTGACCTAATTTCAGCAGCATTAATTATCTTTTCCCCTATGTTCCACCCAAAGTCTAGAGGAGCAATGAGGATAAAAGGCTGAGAATTCCGGCCCCTGAATTCCTGACTGCCGCCTTACTGCCCTGGGCCTCCGTTTGCCTCTCTGCCGTTATCTTCCTCCTCTTTCCTCCTCATCCTGCTCCTCCTCCCCCTGGTCCATCATGCCGTGCACTTGGCAGTCAATGGCAGGTTCTCGCCTCCACTCTGCCTTCCTGGATGTTGCTGCAGGTGTGTCACAGGAGCTTGGACATAGCAATATGAGGTCCCGGACTCAGGGCAGGAGGACCTCCCCATTCAGTGAGACACCTGGCCTCTGAGCAGTGCCTCTTCAACTTGGCATCTGGCAGGGGCTGGGATCATTCGGTCCTGGAAAATCCACTCATCCTCTAGGCAGAGTTCCCCAAGCAGAGGAATCCCCATCACCTTTCTTTCTGGACCCCCTGATAAAGCTGCCAAAAAAAAAAAAATCCCAAACCAGTCCAAATCAAACCAAACCAAAATGATCCAACACCAAAAACAAACAAACAAACAAACAAAACACCGTGACTGTGCATTTTGTGTTGTGCATTTTGAAGCTTGAGAGGTCTCAAGTGCTGTCTTCTTCTCTGCTGCAGCCACTTTCCGACTCGGGCCACTTTCCAACTGGGGACACTCCATCCATCATCCCTGTTGATCTGAATGAGGAGCCTTTGACCTTGCTTGTGAGGTTAAAACTCGTCCCTGCTCACAAGCGAGAGAGGGCACAGAGAGGCAGAGGAAGCACTTTGAGATCAGGTTAAGGAGAAAGGGACTCCTGGCATTCCGTTCAACCCCAGGGGCTGGGTGGCTGCGTTTACAAAAAAGTTCCTTCCCAGGACTCTTTTTTTAAAATTGTACCTTAGGTTCTGGGGTACATGTGCAGATCCTGCAGGACTGTTACATAGGTATATACATGGCAAGGTGGTTTGCTGCCTCCATCCCCCTGTCACCTATATCTGGCATTTCTCCCCCTGTTATCCCACCCCAACCTCCCCACCCACTGCTGTCCCTCCCTTCGCCCCCCTAACAGACCCCAGTGTGTGTTGCTCCCCTCCCTGTGTCCATGTGTTTTCATTGTTCAACACCCGCCTATGAGCGAGAACATGTGGTATTTGGTTTTCTGTTCTTGTGTCAGTTTGCTGAGAATGATGGTTTCCAGGTTCATCCATGTCCCTACAAAGGACATGAACTCATCGTTTTTGGTGGCTGCATAGTATTCCATGGTGTATATGTGCCACATTTTCCCTGTCCAGTCTATCATCGATGGGCATTTGGGTTGGTTCCAGGTCTTTGTTATTGTAAACAGTGCTGCAATGAACATACGTGTGCATGTGTCTTTATAATAGAAAGATTTATCATCCTTTGGGTATATACCCAGCACTCTTTAGCTATATTTTTACCTGGTGGATTCAGAGCCGGGCCCTTAGAGTTTTTCCCAGCAGGTGCTGGGTCTCAAAGCTTCCTCCAGGGGGTATTGTCTGCTGACAGAAGGAATGTGTGGAGCCCAGGTTAGCGGTTAGCCGCGATGGAGCTGAGGGTGGTGGACAGGCCTGAGGGCCACGGTTGCAGGTGGCAGGGGTGGGGCCCACAGGGGGAGCTTTGGATGTGGGGACATCCTGGGCTGGATGGCAAAGACTGGTGGGTCCAGAAGTCACACACTGGAGGTCCTGGGATGGCAAGACTCAGCCCCAGCCTCCCATTCCGAGGCCATCCTTGTCTCCTCTGGCTGCCTCTCCACTCCCCTTCCGCCAACCACGATTCCCTTGCCCCAGGTCAGCCATTATCTCTGCTCATCTCGGTTTTCCAATACTTTGTTTTTTGACATGGAGCCTCACTCTATCACCTAGGTTATAGGGCAGTGGCACCATCTCAGCTCCCTGCAACCTCTGCCTCCCGGTTCCAGTGATTCTCCTGTATCGGCCTCCTGAGTAGCTGGGATTACAGGTGCCTGCCACCACGCCCAGCTTATTTTTGTATTTTTAGTACAGACAGAGTTTCACCATGTTGGCTAAGTTGGTCTTGAACTCCTGGCCTCAAGTGATCCACCCACCTTGGCCTCCCAAACTGCTGGGATTGCAGGAGTGAGCCACCACTCTGTTTTAAGAGGTGGCATTCTAAGTGACCCTCCTGGGCCAGCTTCAGCCTTGCATCCACATAGCAGGGGAGGAAGTTTCCAAAACCTGATCCCTCCACCTCTAGTTTCCAGCCCTCCACACCGTATCTGCTGCCCCCGCCACTGTCTACTGTCTCTGACCTGACCTTCCCACGGGACAACTCCCTGGGGCCTCACCCCATTTCCCATCTCGGGTGGCTCACTGCTGACTTGGACGTGGCAGGCCTGACTCACATGCAGCCACAACCCTGGAACATTCAGGGGCTCTGGAGATATTCCCTGAATTCAACAGAGGACTGGCCCAAAGTCCCAGAGGGACTTGACAGTAGAAGGAGGCTGAGAAGAGGGCGGGAGGGGAATGTGGATAAAGCGCCGGAAGTGTGCTAGCCCGGCCCACGACACGTGTGCGTGCATTATCTTGTATCTTCACATCAGCCTTGCGAGGGGGGTTGATCCTGTCCCCACTTTGCAGAGGAAAAAACTGAGGCTAAAAGGAAGTGAAATCTACAGCTCAGAAAAATAAAGCTGAGAGGAGGCAGGCCGAAATTTGGACCCTGGGCCTGAGCTCACGCGGCGCAGATTCTTTTAGAAATAGATGCCAAAGACCTGGATCTCTGACCCTCTCTGTCTTTTATCGGTGAGGCACTTCTGCAGGCAAGGCCTCAGCTGCCTCATTTGTAATACGGGGGTAGTAGTGGTGACTGTGTGCAATGCTGCTAGCATATACGAGCATATGCAGTACCCCCATATGCAAATGAGAATCTTTATACCCCCATATTACAATTGTGAATGTAGCAGAGGCTGTTGGTGCCTACCTGTTCCTCCTGGGCTCTCACCATCCCCACGTGGGCCCACTCCATGGCTTCCAACACAGTGAAGTGCAGGGAGCCAATGCCCGGGGCAGTACCCCTCAGCCCATGGCAGAACCTATGGGGGTTGGAGGATACATACCCTAGCTCCATCGCTCCTTGGGTGAGACAAATCCCAGGCATGTTCCATGTTGGCTCTTAGAGGCTCCCAGTGGGACAGAGCCCCAGCTACCCACAGACGAACCTTGACTGCTAATGAAGCTTCCCTCCTGGCTTCGCTCCCCCACCCTCTCACCACCCCACACACAGCAGTTCTTTCTGCAGGATGTGCTTTGTGGCAACCCACACTCCAATCAGGAAGGGAATTCTCCTAGAAACATGAAGCAAAGTTGTTCCTGTAGCCTTTCTATAACCCCTCTCCTCCTTCCCCGCATTAGGGCAGGGAAGCAGCTTGCATTTACCAGCTCAAGGAGGGAATGATAAACCTCAAAAACCAGAACCCTGGATATAAACGACAGGTGGGGGAGAACTGGGGATGAGTGACCCCTCTCCCACCTCGGAACCAGACAGAGACTTCCCAGGCGAGGCAGGCAGAAGAAGGCACAGAAGGAGGCTGCATGCCACAGTCCCTCCAAGATGCAAGGTGAGCGGCAGCTGGGATCAGAACTTAGCTAGTGAGGCTAGGCGCTGCAAGTTCAGTTACAGGAAACTAACATCCCTGTCCTGCATACTTGAGTTCAGGCCAAGAGATTCTTGGTATTATTCTTGGTATTCAGGCTGATTTTTGGTATTACTGGGGGAGAGGCTTGTTTTTCTGACTCATTTACAAAGAACTCTCTCCATCTGTGCCCCCAGCCTCCTTCTCCCTGAGCTTCTTCCACCTGGCCATGAGTCATCTCATTCCTTCCAGCCTGAAGCCCCCAGGCTATTTCCCCCCACCTGGAGGAGCCCAGCCCACTTAGGGAAGAGACACCTGAAGGAGCACCTGGCTTGGGGGGGTGGGTGTTGTCTGCAGACAGGAAGAGGCACCCTGTGTTGGGACTGGCCCCAGGTGAAGAGGAGCAGGGAGAGGGCTGGGCAGGTGGAGCAGGCTCTGATGCCTGGGAGTTAGAGTCAGGCTTCAGGGGAGCTGAGGGAAGCACATGCTTTGCTGGGGCCTGTCCCATCAAACCCTGCTGTGTGACCCTGGCGGACTCACACAGCCTCTCTGGGCTTCATCTCTGCAGGGTGAAGTGCTTGAAGCTGGTCTTCTGTCTCCCATTTTGAACACTTTGATGCTGGTGTCGCCAGGCTTTTCAGCATTATCAAGAGACTTGGTGGTTTTTCAGCCAGCACGGCGGCTCACGCCTGTAATCTCAGCACTTTGGGAGGCCAAGGTGGGTGGGTCACCTGAGGTCAGGAGTTTGAGACCAGCCTGGCCAACATGGTGAAAACCCGTCTCTACTAAAAATACAAAACTAGCTGGGTGTGGTGGCGCACGTCTGTAGTCCCAGCTACTCGGGAGGCTGAGACAGGAGAATAGCTTGAACCTGGGAGGCAGAGGCTGCAGTGAGCAGAGATCACACCAGTGCACTCCAGCCTGGGTAAGACAGAGTGAGTATCCGTCTCAAGAAAAAAAAAAAGAGACTTGTGGTTTTTCTCTCTGTCTCTCCTTTCCTCTGCCTGTTCTCCCTCCTGCTGTTCATTCATTCATTCCTTCCCACTCCATGTCCAGGCTTGCACAGTATGCTGCAGACAGAATGATGACCAAACCCATCCCTACCTTAGAAGCCTAGTCTGGCAGAAGACAGACGTCTCGCAGCCAGTTACAACAGAAGGCAGTGACGGGCACGTTATTCATAGCTGGCATCTCTCTGGAGCCCCACCTTTCTGCCAGGTCCCAAGCATTCCTGACTCCACTCAATTCCCGGAACTTTCCAAGGCCCAGTTTCCTTGGTCATCTTCATTTTCCAGGTGAATAAACCGAGGAATGGGAGGTGAGGGCCCACAGCTAGGAAGAAAGAATTGGGTTCGGGATTTGAACCAGGTCTGCCAGACTCAAGCCCAGGCTTAGAATCACTCATTTCCCAGAACAGGAGCAAGCAAAGGGGAATTTGAGGAGCTGAGAAAGAGGGTGTGTAACCCAGCCTTGCTGGGGAAGGCAAGGTCGATCTTTCCAAGGATCCCAAATCTCAGGATCCCAATTCCATCGTTTCACCCTCTCCCTACCAAGACTGGCTGTGGGTAGGGGGTGGAGTTAACATTTGTTACAATAATGGAGCAGTAACACTAGCTAATATTCATCGATAATTACTCTCCTTAGCTGTGATTGGTGGGTTTCATGTCATGATTCTGACCAATCATTGTAGCCAGAGGAATGGACTCAGAGCTGATTGGCCAGTTGTAGGGGCTGTGCCTAAGTCCTTGAGCTGGTGGGTGGTCCGGTGCCAACCAATGCACATTAAGAGCCAGGGAGGGCAGTGCAATTCGAAGTGCTCTTAGTAGAGGAGGTAAGAATAGCAGATATCCCTTAATCCAGTATTTTAGGCAAATTAACCCATGAATCCCCTCAGCAATCCTGAGGCACAGAGAAGCTAAGAGACTCACCCAAAGTCACACAGCTTGTGAACCGCAGTGCCGAACCCTGAAAGTCTGGCTTCTGAGTCTGTGGTTTTTATCTGCAGTGCTACACTGCCTCTTACAATAATGTCTGAAGATAAAATCGATAGACCCTGTTTGGAGTTGAAATGAGGGAGGAAGGGGAGAGGAAGAGGAGGTGATGATGTTTTACATTCGTGTAAATTGACATGTGATTTAGACAGCTCCTCCCCCACCTGGTGATTTAGACACGAAGACGGCCGAGCCAGGCTGACACCTGCAGTTTGACCTTGTGTCTGTACTTACCAGTGGTGACATCACCACGGAGTCTGCAGAAACATCGGCATCGCACCAGCTCCAGTCCCAGCTGCCTCTTGTCAGTTCCACATGGGGGACCCATTTTGGGCAATGTCTGTGGCAAATTCAAGTGCCTTCTTTTTAAAATTAATTATTTTTATTTATAATTGACACTTTTAAGTGTCTTCTTAAGGACACTTCTTAGAGGAGGACCTTGGGGTCAACAGCGCAGGCTTCTTGGCGAGGCTTGTGTGTGGGTGTGGTGGGGCTGCTGGTTGAGAATCTACCAATGTGCCGTCGTTATCACTCTTCATTCTCCTGAAAAGATTTCTCTCTAATGTTTCTAATTTCACTGTTGCTCAGACATCCAGTAAGATGTCCCCGCATTAGAACTTTTAAATCTTTTGGTTAGGCACATTTTTGGAAATAACTCTCGGGCCAATCTTCATTGTTTCTTTTCCTTCCTGCTTTTCTTCTCTCCCTCTCCTTCCATCCATCTGGCCTTGAACAAATCTGTATTGTACATTTAACTTTTGTCAGGCCCCATGGTAACATCCCAGGGAAACCGAATGAATAGGACTTACCTTTGCCTTCAAGAAGCTGCTTGTCGTTTTTTTTGTTTGTTTTTTAAAAGACATGGTCTTGCTCTGTCACCTCTGTCAGTGAGGTGGCATGGTCATAGTTCACTGCAGCTTCAACCTCTCAGGTTCAAATGATCCTCCTGCCTCAGCCTCCCAAGTAGCTGGGACTACAGGCATGCACCGCCATGTCCAGCTAATTTCTTCACTTTTGTAGAGATGGGGGTCTCACTGTGTTGCCCGGCTGGTCTTGAACTCCTGGGCTCAAGCGATCCTCCCACTTCAGCCCCCAGAGTGGCTCATTACAAGCATGAGCCACTGCATCCGGCTGAAGTTTCCCATCTTTTAGGGGTTATAGATGAACACTTATCATGTAGTGGGGGCCGTAAAGGGCAGGAAAAGGAGGAGGATGTCATCCCTGCTTGGAGAAGTTTTCCAGGCAGATGTCCAGAGGTAGAGAGAGGGAAGAGAAAGCACCCTAGACAGAGGGCACAACATAGGCAAAGGCAGAAAGGCATGGAGTAGTGTAAGCTCATGAACGATTGTGGTTTGGTTGTGCATATGGGGAGTGGTAGAGGATGAGATACAAGATGTAACCAGGGCTCAGTCCGACCACTGAGAGCTTTGTCATGGTAGAGGAAGGGCACATGAATGGTCCAGGGCCAAGTGAGCACTGGACTAGAAGTTCTGAGACAAGATCCAGGCTTTTTTATTGTTTCTAAGTTGACTTGATGAGTCATGGTTCCCCTCTGAGTCTTGGTCTTTTCATCTGTAAAAGCAGAGCCTTGTTCTCTTGTTCATCGAAGTGCTTTCTGACTCACACATTGATGCATTTCTGGGATGTTCTTTTTCTTGTCCTTCCCAGAATCTCTCCCCAGATCTAAAATCCTGCAATGATCCTGACCACCCAACCCCACAGACGTCATTTGATTCAGAGCTAAATGGATCTTTCTGTTCCTGGTGGGTCTATTTGTCACAGCTTTGAGGGGGTGCTCCCGCGGTGTCACTGCACACCACCGAATTGATCTTGATTTTATTTTCACAGCCTTGGTGTAATTATGAAAGCCTGCTGTAATTATCAAAACACAACTCCAAGTATTTCATTATTAAAATACCCCTATGGTCTATTATTAATTCATTAGATAAATTTGGATTATATCACTCAATAATTAATGTGCAGACATGAATCCGGGGAGCTTGGCCACTGTGAGTCACATGGTAACTGCGGGAAGCAATGGGAGGCTGAGAGATTAGGAGGTGAAGGTGGAAAGAATGGAAACAAAGACGGAAAGCAGGTGCTCATGGAGGATTGCTGACCGTCCTGCTCTCTGACATTCATTTAACTGTTGATTCAATAAACATTTATTGCTGGCCTACTACATGGTAGGAACTTTGAGTACCTTAACATCAAAATATTAACTATTGCAGGATGGTTCCTGGGGTTTTCTTTTATTTATCTGTACATTCATCATTCATCACCCATCTGTCTACCCAGCCATATAGCCATACAGCCACCTACCCACCCATCCATCCATTCATCTATCCATCTACCCAGCCATTCATTCATCCATCATCCACTCAGTTTATCCATTCATCCACCCACCCATCTACCTACCTACCCACCATCTACATGTCCACCCATCAATCTCTCCATCCATCCACCCAACCATTCACCCATTCATCCATTGTATATTCATCTACCCATTTACACATCTATCCTTCTGGCTATTAATTCATCTACCCATCCATTCATTTATCTTATCCCTCTATTTATTAATGTATCAATCTACCCATCCATTCATCTATTGATCCCTCTATTTATTAATGTAACCATCTACCCATCCATTCACACACCTATCGATCTATCCACCTATCTATCTACCCACACATTGTCCACACATTCATGCATCCATCCACCATCCCATGCATTAATTCATCTACCCATCCACCTAACATCCATTCATCCATCATCCCTCAATTTATCTATCTATCCATCCATCTATTCATCTATCTACTTGTCTACCTACCCATCCATCTATCCATCCTTCCACCCATTCATCCATCCATCCACCATTCCATGTATCCATTCATCTACCCGTCTACCTGTCCTCCATTCATCCATCATCTCCTCAATTTATCCATACATCCATCCACTCATCTATCCATCCATCCACTCATCTATCTACTTGTCTACCTACACATCCATCTATCCATACTTCTACCCATTCATCCATCTATCCACCATCCCATGCATCCATTCATCTACCCATCCACCTATCTTCCATTCATCTATCATCTCCTCAGTTTATCCATCCATCCATCCATTCATCCATCCATCCACCCACCCATCTATCCATCCATCCACTCATCTACTTGTCTACCTACCCATTTATCTATCCATCCATCCATTCACGCACCCATCCATCTATCTGTCCATCCGCCCATCCATTCATCATCTCATCTATCCATTCATCCATTATCCCCATTATTCATCTATCCACCCACCCATGTATCCATACATGCATCCATCCATTCATCTATCCACTCATTCATCCATCATCTATCTGTCCACCTATCCATCCATCCATCCATCCATCCACCCACCCATCCATCCATTCATCTATCTACTCATCCATCTACTCATTCATCTATTATTTATCCATCCACCCATTCATTAATTTATTCATCCATCCATTCATCCACCCATCCATCCATCCACTCACCCATTCACCTGTTACCTATCCATCCACCATCCAGCATGCATCCATCTATCTGTTTATTGAGCTCTTTCTATGTTCCAAGCATGGAAAGCACCTTGAGGAACAGACTATGGCCTCTGCTCGCAGGAAGCTCAGCCTCCATGTGGAGGACAGGGAGCAGCCATGCAGACCAGTGCTTGCAATCATGTGATATGTTTTTATGGGGAAGGACAGTGGAATATAGGAGCCCAGGAGGAGCCTGAGTTTGGTGAGGTAAGGAACTGTGGTCAGGGAAAGCTTCCTGGAAGAAGAGCTATTTAGCTGAGGCAGAAGAGGGAGAGCAGCAAGCCAGGAAAAAGGATTCATGGGGACCCAGATGTCTGAGGTGGCCCAGCCTCATGTGGGGTGTCTGGGGGTGTGGGGATAGACATGGCCAGTGAGGTCATCAGGGCTTGGATGTGGTGGCTGTGTTGGCTTTTTAGATTCATTTTGAGAATGATGGGTGTTCAGCAGAGACTGAAGTGGTTAGAAATGAGTTGTTTTAAAAATATTTCTCCAGCTGCAGTTTGGAGAATTGACCTGCAGGGGCTTGAGTGGAGGTGGAGAAGCTGGGGAGAAGGTAATACAGGCATTTGTGTGAACAGTTGTGGTGGCTCTTGATAGAGGGCTGGCAGGGGATAGCAAAGGATCCATCTTGGAGGGACATGGAGGGGTTAGCATCCTGGCTGCGGGGGTAAAGGGGCCCCAACTGAACAGGTGACTTAAGTCCAGCAACCTGTCCAGTTCTTTCAGAGAATACCCA